TGTGTACAACTCTTGTCTTATAGACTTTTTTCTGTGTACAACTCTTGTCTTATAGACAATTTATAGACAATTTAACATAATTTTAGGGATCCTATATCGTCTAATTTAGGAAATGATTGATCCTACCATTAAGGTAGTCAATCCTTTCCTTTTACTGTACAAGGATTAATCTTAGGGATCTTGTATCGCCTAATTTAGGAAATGATTGATCCTATCATTAAGGTGGTCAATCCTTTCCTTTTACTGTACAAGAATTGATCCTAGAGATCCTATATCTTCTAATTTAGGAAATGATTGATCATACCATTAAGGTGGTCAATCCTTTACTTTTACTGTACAATGATTGATCCTATCATTAAGGTGGTCAATTTTACTGTACAATGATTGATCCTATCATTAAGGTGGTCAATCCTTTTCCTTGTACAAGTTATTCTTCTAACACTCTCCCTCAAGTTGGGTCGTGGGATCTTCAACACCCAACTTGCACAACGTTTCATGGAAGACTCACCCTGTCACTGCCTTAGTCAGAATATCTGCCAGCTAATCCTCATATCGAACATATGGTAGACTGATGATCCCTCCTTCTAATTTCTCTTTAATGAGGTGCTGGTCCACGTCAATATGCTTCATCCTGTTATGTTGCACTGGATTTTCTAAAATGCTAATTGCAGCTTGGTTATCACACCTAAGCTGACACGTACTCTGAGGTGGAAATCCAATCTCAGTTAGTAACTTCTTAATCCATAATAGCTCTGCTAATCCCTGAGCTACTCCTCTGAATTATGCTTCTGCACTAGATAGGGCTACAACTTTCTGCTTCTTGCTTTTCCAAGTTACAAGGTTCCCACCAACAAAAGAAAAATATCCCGATGTCGATCTCCTGTCTACTGGATTCCTGGCCCAATCAGCATCCGTATACCCAAGTATCTCCAAGTGTCCATTTTTCCTGAACATGATTCCTTTCCTTGGTGACCCTTTCAAGTATCATACAATTCCCAAGGCAGCATCCATATGCTATGTCATGAACTGGCTCACTACTTCGACAGCATATGCTATGTCAGGTTTAGTGTGTGAGAGATAGATGAGCTTCCCTACTAGTCTTTGGTAACTCTCACGATCTGTCATGTCTGCTTCCTCTTCTATTTTTAGACCATGATTCACCACGATAGGGGTCTCAACTGGCTTACAGTCAATCAATCTAGTCTCGGTTAGAAGATTAAGGATATACTTTTGTTGAGATATGAAAATCCCCTGATTTGATCTCAGTACCTCGATTCCCAAAAAATACTTCAGTCCCCCCCAAATCTTTCATTTCAAATTCTTTAAACAAGTTTCCCCAGAGATGTGCAATTTCTGCTGTATCATTGCCTGTAATGATCATGTCATCGACGTAGATAATTCGGCATGTAATAAGATATCTTCTTCTCTTTAGAAACAAAGTGTGATCCGAGATGCTCTATCAATACCCGTAGCGATTCATCGCAACGGTAAATCTTCCAAACCATGCTCTAGGTGATTGTTTTAGCCCGTATAACGCCTTCTTCAGTTGGCATACTTCTCCCTATTGAAATCTCTTGGTAAACCCTGGTGGTGCTTCCATATATACTTCTTCCTTGAGGTCACCGTGAAGAAAGGCATTTTTCACATCAAACTGATGAAGCGGCCAATCCAGATTGGCCGCCACTAAGAACAATATCTGGATCATATCAATTTTGGCTACCAGACTAAATGTTTTTGAGTAATCCACTCCATATGTCTGAGTGTATCCCATTGCCACAAGCCGAGCTTTATATCTTTCTATGGTTCCGTCTGCCTTGTGTTTCATTGTAAAAAGCCATTTGCACCCAACTGTCTTATTTCTAGTAGGTAGTTTGCACTTTTGCCAGGTTCCATTTTTTTCAAGAGCCTCCATTTCAACTTCCATAGCCTGTCCTCATTCCTTCTTTTGTTGAGCCTCCTGTACTGTTCTAGGAATAGCTTCAATGTATAGTATTATTGTGAACACTTTGGCTACTTCGGATAAAATCCCCCTAGCAAGGTTAGCCACTGGATATCTGGACGTTTTGGGTTCATATTCTGGTGAGTATCTCTTCAGAGGTATACCCCGAGTGCTTCTATGAGGAAGAATATATCTCCCTGTAGTCTCAACTACTTCTGTCTTAGGAGCTGCATGTTCATGTTCAGAGTAATGAGAAGCAAAAGTAAAATCATTATGAACTTGGGTACTTACCTCGTGGACATCCAACTGTGGAGTCCTAGCTGTGTCCCTAAATTCGACAGTTTCTACATTGTCTGAAGTAGGCTCAATGGATCCATACTCAATGAATCCACTAGCTTTTTTGTTGGATTCACCGACAGACAAAGTTGGACTGAGTAACCAATTCAATGGGTCAATTTCTGTTTTACTCTCCCCCAAACCACTGTGTTGGGTGTGGTAAAAATATTCAGTTTCAAGAAAGTCGCAGTCCATTGTGGTGTACATACGACAGGTTTTGGGGTTATAGCAGCGGTAGCCTTTTTGGTTAATCTCATATCCCACAAAGACACATTTGACTGCACGAGGATCAAATTTTGAATGTTCAGTCTTTGGAATGTGAACAAAGACTGAGCATCCAAAAATTCGAGGTGATAGTGTCAATGCTGGGGGCACTTGGATGTGTTCAGAGAGAGATTGTAGAGAGGTTTATAGGTTAAGTATCTTAGTGGGTAAACGGTTAAGAAGGTACACTGCAGTGGCTACGGCTTCAGGCCAAAAAGACTGAGGAACTTGAGATTCAAGCATTAAAGGCCAAAAAGACTGAGGAACTTGAGATTCAAGCATTAAGGCTCGGGTGATTTCAAGAAGGATTCTGTTTTTTCGTTCGGCTACACCATTCTGTTGTGGGGTGTTCGGACAAGTGGTTTGGTGTCCTAACCCATTTTCCCAGAAGAAGGTTTGCATGGCAAGATTGACAAATTCTCCCCCCCCCCCATTTATTAGATTTGAGTATTCTAATTTGTTTTTGAAATTGAGTATGGATGAGATTGTAAATTTCTGTGGAACCTCAGATTTGTGTTTTAAAAAATATACCCACGTCATACGAGCACAATCATTAATAAATAACACAAAATACTTAAAAACATTGTTTCCAGAGTTCGGAGCAGGACCTATACATCAGAGTGTACTAAATCAAATGCATGTTCAACCCTAGTGTTACTAGAAAAAAAAGGCTTCCTATGGCTTTTTGCCAATGGCTTTTTGCCAAAACACAAGTATCACAAGGGGTATTATTATGAAACTGAGGAAAAAGGATTTTGAGGTAACCATGTGACAGGTGTCCCAATCGTCAGTGCCACAACCAACTCTGTCGACCAATTCCATGAGCTAGTAGTGCGGACCCTTTTTGAGCCACTTCGTCGACATAGTACAAACCATCGTATTCAGTGCCACGCCCAATGATCTCCTGTGTCTGGATGTCCTGTAAAAGGCAAAAATTCGGATGCATTAGAAGCGTAGAATTTAGTTCTTTTGTCATTTGACTAACGGATAGCAATTTACAAGACAATGATGGGACATAGAGACATTTGGACAATTTTAGGGTTGGGGATAACTCTATGGACCTTGCCCCTTTAACAGGTACAAAATCTCTACTGGCGGTCTGAATTTTAAATTTTTCTGGAGCTGATGGGATAATAATATCAGAGGGATCATAGGTCATGGTATCAGTTGCCGCACAATCAAATAACCATTGAGTATTTTTTTTCCACCCTTCGATTCTTGGGCTATATAGGCTGAGGGGTATTTATTTATTTTCGACCTACCCGGGGTATTTATTTATTTTCGACCTACCCGAATTTTTTCTCATACCCCAAGAATGATTTCTATCTTTTTTGGTTTTTTCTATTTTTTCTCAAAACCTCCGAGGTCAATCTAAATTGTTGTAAAGGAATTAGGACTTAATTGCATACAATCAGAACTTTCAATACTTAATTCAGGTATATCAAAACAATTAGGTGCAAAATAAATAGGATTAAGAATTGAAGGGTTTGGAGGTGATTTTCCCTTCCCAAAACCTATACCTGTCCCATCTCTTTCTCCTCTCCCATATGCTTCAGCAGCCCCTCTTCCTATTCCAATGGCAGCAAATCCTCCATCTTCGTCACTGCTGTGGATATTCCAATGGCAGCAAATCCTCCATCTTCGTCACTGCTGTGGACGTCGGAGACCTCCTAGTTCCTGGTCACGACAGCGGCTCGGCCACTTTTTTCCTAGTCGCGATTTCTCACCTTCGGGTTGTCCTTCCACCATTCAGCACCAATGAGATGAAAGCATTCATCCTTGATGTGTCTGGTTAGGTTGCAATGAGAACACTTGAGGACGCTCCGATCAATTTTCCTTTGAAATAATGAACTTGCTGCTCCACTTGCCAAGTCTGATCGGGGTTGCGATTCACTATGCACCTGGTTTTTTTTTTCATCATCGACCTGGACCTCTCACCCTGTCCTCTTGCGGCTAACCCGCTACCAGTGCCTGGAGCTTCACCATTATCCATGGCTACCGATGGACTGAGTATGTTCATTCGAGCGGTCTCCCTCCGGACGGTAACATACGCTGCTTCAATGGATGGTAAAGAAATTTCTTTTAGTAAATCATGCTTGATCGAATCAAATCGATCATCCATTCCGGCAAGAAATTGGTACAGTCAACTTTCTTGCTTTAATCTGTTAAATGTAGAAATATCTGCTGGGCTTGTCATTGGATTAGGTTGTCTTTTGTCTATTTCTCGCCAAATTGTTTGAAAAATACTGTAATATTTTCCAGTGTTAGTTGCCCCTGTTGCTGTCTCTTTGCTTTTGTCATCAGGTTGAAGATTTGCAACGCATCTTCCCCACTCCGGTACGTAGCCACTAGACCATCCCACAAGTCTTTGGCCGTCGAATATTCGACGTATTGGCTAACTAGGTCCGGTTCAATGGCTTGAATGATCCATGAAAAAACTTGGAGATCCTTTTGCTCCCATATGGCAAACACTGGGTCTTCTGTGGCTAGAGGTGGGGAATTTCTAGTGATATGGTCCAATCATCCGCTTGCACCGATGGCCAATCGCATCAGTCTTAACCACAGGGAGTAGTTGTGATCATTTAGTTTAATATCAACTGAGGTTGTTTGGTTATTATTTGATTGAATTGTGGTTTGTTGTTTTAACAACTGGGCAATTTGTGTTGACAAGGCTTATGTGGCTTCAGTCAGTGCCGGATTGACACTGCTGTTGGCTTCGTCACTCGTGTCGTTGGACAGGTAAGTTGCTGGTAAATGATGAACAAGTAATCGAACCCTAGGATTGATACTGCTATGATAACATCTTAAATTTAGAGTCTTAGGTTTGAAGAAGAGGTTTCAATTCTCATTATAATTTTTTTTCTGTGTACAACTCTGGTCTTATAGACAATTTAACATAATTCTAGGGATCATGTATCGTCTAATTTAGGAAATGATTGATCCTAGGGATCATGTATCGTCTAATTTAGGAAATGATTGATCCTACCATTAAGGTGGTCAATCCTTTCCTTTTACTGTACAAGGATTGATCCTAGAGATCCTGTATCTTCTAATTTAGGAAATGATTGATCCTACCATTAAGGTGGTCAATCCTTTCCTTTTACTATACAATGATTAATCCTATCATTAAAGTGGTCAATCCTTTCCTTGTACAATTTATTCTTCTAACACTCCTAGCAGTGAGCAATTGATTTCATGGATTCCACCTGCTATGAGAAAGTTTAAACTCAACTCTGATGGTTCTCTAAAAAATAGTAGTGCCTATGGTGGGGGTATTATTAAAGATGACAGAGGTGGTTGGATTGCTGGTTTTGTCCATAATGTTGGTATTTGTTCTGTGGTGGGTGCTGAGTTATGAGCTATGTATGAATGGATGAAGCTTGCTTGGTCATTGGGTATTCGTGACCTTACAGTGAAATGTGATAGCACTTTGGCTGTTAAGATGGTTTATGATGAGATTACTCCACAGGAGAGCATGAGAGCTCTTATTACTTCAATTAGACAGTTGCTGGTGTTGCAATGGAACTGTCATTGTTATAATGGCCACGTATACAGAGAAGCAAATCATTCAGCAGATCACCTTGCTCAGTTGGCAACTCAGTTTTCTTTGGGATTTCATGTGCTTAACCAACCTCCTTCTCTTGTTCCTTGGTTGTTACATGATGCTAATGAGTAGCCTACCCTAGAATTTGTTTTAATTAGTTCTTTTCGAGCTGTTGCTCCCCTTCTGTACCTCAAAAAAAAAAAAAAAAAAAAAAAAAAAAAAAAAAGTAATTGCATATTTATACATAAAAGCAAATATTGTAAATTTTTAGTTATTTTTAAATATATTGTTAACATCACGAGTAACAATATTCTTTTTTTTTCCAATGATTTTAATTTTTTTCTCTCCCTTTTTGAAATATTCTTCCTTTTATTTTTTTTTAATAAAGTTTATTGATTAAAAAAAAAGAGACGTTTTATATGTTTAATTTTTTGAATGAGAAAAATACATGTTAATTACTAATATTATTAATTAAAATAATGAATAATATAATTTAATAATATTACTTGAACAAGGTATTTATACCCTACAACTAGTTGGAAAAAAAGGCTTGAACTTTAAAAAAAAAAAAACTTTAAAAAAAAAAAAAAAAAGGCTTGAACAATAATTAGATATTGGACTTTGGAGAAATTATTTGACCATTTCGACAGTTATAAATGGAAGAGCTTAAAAAGATTGGAGAGTGGAGAGTAGCAGAGAAAAATAATTTCTTGTGAGGACAAATGAAAATAATTAAATCCAAAAAATTTACTTTCCACGAATACCCTTAAAACTAGCCGTTATATAATTGTTAGGATGGTTAATTTGAACATTTTACAAAAACTTTTGAAAAAGTAAAAAAATTATGTTAGAACTACTGATTCTAATCGATTTGAAAATACCACCGGTTCCAGTCTATTCTTGAAACTGACAGTTCACAGTTTCTCAAAATTTGAAATTGGAACCAGACCGCAAGCTCCTGGTTTCGATTACGATTCAGACCGATTTCAATTTTGATTTGAATCAATTTTGATTTCACACGGTTCTGATTTTAGTTTCCACCGACCTGAACCAACAGTTCTGGTTCAAAAAACCGGTCCTTGGCCATGCCTGTTTATCGCCCCTCAAATAAAAAAAAAAAAAAATGAAACTAAAACTAAAAATAAAAATAAAACCCTTCAATGCTTAAACCCTAACGGCCTAATCCCTCTGTTTATTTTTTCTCCCCCACCCAGAGCTTGTACTCCGTTCTCCAATGGCGGGCTTGGAGAACTTGAAGGATATGTACGACGTTGCATTGAAGCCTCGAATGCTTCGTACATTGTTAAAAGAAGAAGTACCGGACGAGAAGAAACAACAATTAGGTAACCCATCCAAGCTATCGAGAGTTGTATCCACTATACAAACTTTCAAGCTTTTATCGGAATCGTTCAACAATTCCACGGAACCTAAGTTAATTGAAAGGTGGAGATCTGCTATAGATGATTGGGTTAATCGATTACTTTTGTTAGTCTCCAACTCTACTATGGTACATATTCAAATTTTTTGAATTGTTAATTTTGGTTTTAGATGTCTCATTTTTGGTTTAAATATTAGCATTTATTTGGAATACATATTTATTTTTGTTCTAGCCAGATAAATGTTGGGCTGGAATCTGTTTGTTGGGTCTGACTTGTCAAGAATGCAGCTCTGATCGTTTCCTAGCATCATATGCTGTTTGGTTTGATAAACTTCTATTACATATTCAGGTATTAAACTAAATTAAGTTTTATATTCTTTGGAAGGATTTTTGTCGTTATAACTTGCATTTTAAGATTTTTGCTTTTCCCTTTTAGTATTTTGTTGAACCATTACTGTTTGAGCTTTATTTGCCCCCTTATACATCTCTCTTGTTCCAAATTTCACGCTGAATGTGGTGTCTTGTGTTTGTGTTTTAAATAGTCACCAACAGATTCTCAATTTGTAAAGGTGGCTTCTTGTACCTCAATGTCAGATATGATAACGAGGTAAAATTATGTTCAACTTTTTCTGACATCTGGATTTGATTTAGGTGCATGCTTGCTTATTTTCCATAATGCATGGAATAAGTTTATAATTGTGAAGTTACTATCTTTCTCGAAATAGGTTAGCTGAATTTCCTAATGCGAAGAAGGATGGATCTTCCCTTGCTGGAAAAGTCATTCAACCTGTTCTGAAGCTGTTGCAAGAGGGTAGTTCGGAGAATGTTTGGGTAAGTAGAGTTCTAGTTCACTGAACAGTCACAAATCCATTCTCATGCTCTATCTCTCTCTCACATAAGCACACAAACACACAGACATGCACAGAAACAAACTCAGAGATAGTTGCAGGTTTCACAACAAATATCTCTTTCCATGAGCTTGATCTTGATTTTGTTTTGCATAGTGGTTATCTTCTATTACCTTTGTTAGTATGTGTTCTGAGTAAAGATATCATATTCTTTCAGCTTTGTTGCTCTTTATTAATTTATTACATTGGATTGCAGGAAGGGGCAATCCATTTGTTATGCACTATTATAACTTGCTTTCCGGCTTCTGTTCATCGTCACTATGACAGTGTATGTAACCATATCTCTTTATTGATATTTCAATTCATTTTCTTTTTCACATTTGCACACAAATTTTCTACTCCATTTATTTGCATGTCCCAAGAGTTGCCTACTTGTTTTATTGTGTAGTGGATGTTATTTTGAGCCTGAATTCTAAAGGAAGCCTATTATCATTATTTAATTTTGTTACCATTATACAATTTTATTGCATTTGATGGTAATATCTATTTTGCATTCTAACTCTATTCTACATAACATAATGATAAGAGCATATGACAGCAGAGAAAGACTCAAATCTTTGGTTTTAATTTGAAAGTAGCCTAGCGGCTTTTTCATGACTGAATGGGCACTAGTGGCAAAACTTTTTTAGATTAGCTGGCTAATGCATTCTGATGTAAAGATGTAAACCCTTTTTGCAGGTTGAAACAGCTATTGCGTCAAAAATTTTGTTAGGAAGATGCAGTATTAATTTGCTAAAGGTAACATATCTCTTTCCAATTGCTTTGACCATAGCTGGATTATAATTAGGAATACTAAGTCGGGCTTTGGGATGAACATAATGAATTATAATTAGGAATACTAACTCAAGACTTTCGGATGAACTTAGTGAATATTTTGTATTATGCTTGACTTTCAACTTTCAGAAGTTTGCTTGTTGTCTGGCATTACTTCCTAAATCAAGAGGAGATGAGGATAGCTGGCTTTCAATGATGCGGAAGATTCTATTATTGGTAAATGGTTACCTGACTGAAATCTTCCATGGTCTTGAAGAAGGTATGTATTATACCATATTGGTTTTGTTGTTGCTTGTCTTAAGGATGGTAAATAGCAATTTTTTTTTTCATGTGTTGTAGAAAGTAAATGGGACGAAGCTTTAAGATTACTGGTTCCACCAGGAGAGGCTACTCCAACATCCTTATGGGGTCAAAATTTATTAGAAGAAACATCAGATAATGCAAGAAAGAGATCTAAGCTATCGAGTGTCTCTCTGTTGATGCTTAGCTGTTGTACAATGCTTACAACTTCATATCCTGTCCAGGTAGTGCTGTATGATTGGATTATTATGAGATCTTTTAATTGAGAGAAGAAACATGTTATAGCAAATGTTTAATTCTTTTTTATTCTTTTATATTTGGAAAGGAAGCATGATCTAGATGGTTTTGGTATTCAAAAATATGTGATTCATTAACAGGTGACAGTCCCTATTCGCTCGTTATTGACTCTTATTGAGAGAGTGCTGGTCGTTGATGGTTCATTATCACGTGCCACATCATCCTATGTTATTGCAACAGAACAAGAGTTCATTTGTTCCGAACTTCCAGTTCTGCATTCATACAGTTTGGAACTCCTTACTTCTGTTATAAAGGGAATGCGCAGGTAAATTTTAATATATTAGCATTTGCTTCTTATTTCTTAATTCTTACTTCTATCTTTGTAGTTTGCAATGTAACTTTCCTATTTTCTGTTTCTTAATTTCCTCGGAGAGTTTAGTTTCCAATCATGTTATTTCCCTTTGCAGTCAACTATTGCCACATGCTGCGTACGTTGTGCGACTTGTTAAAGAGTATTTCAGGAGATGTCAATTATCAGAGTTAAGGATAAAAATCTACTCCATCACAAAGATATTGCTTATATCTATGGGCATCGGTATGTAGAAATTTTCGGAGACTCTTTTTTGTATCCTTTTTTACTGCTCTCTCTCTCTCTCTCTCTCTCTCTCTCTCTAGTGGCTAAAGAATGCTTCAAACATGTTTCAGTAATTGAGGTTTCATAATTCTGTATGGGTTTCTTTAACCACTTAGTCACTCTTTTGATGCGGCTGAGTCTCTTCCTGCTATTTGATTGAGGGGCTTGATGGTTTTCCTCCATTGCTTGGTTGGTGTATCTATTTGTTTCAGCATTGTTCTTCCTTGTCTATTTATTGCAGTGATAACTTGGTTTTCATTCATTGCCTTGCCAGGTGTAGGCCAACTTTTCAAACTTCTTTTTACATTTCATTGATGGTTTAGATCGAAGATTCTGTTGGTTTTTTATTTTCCTCTTTATTTTTGCTGCTCTTTTCTATACTTTTATGCAGTTGGACGGTTTCCCTCCTTTTTTCAATTTTTATAAATGCACAAAAGCAAAATAGCCTCTTAGCTGCATGGTCTATCTTCCCTCCTTTTTTTCAAAATAACCTTGTTTCAATTTTTCAATTTTCAATTTTTCCTTTTGCTAATCAAATTTCATCCCTTGTAGCAAAAGATAGATGAAGTGAAACTAGTAAAATGCAGATCTTTGATAGATGTGTTTAACATGGTAAATAGCTGCAAATTTTTCAGAATGATAGAGGTCAAAATCTAATGGGTGAAACAGGCAAAACATAAATCTAGGTTGTGCATCTCTGTGTATAAACATATCTCTGTTTCTGTATCCAAGCCTTATCCCTCTCAAAGATTGATAGATTGAAACGTTGATCTATCCCCTGCAAGTATAATATGTTTCAGAATAATCTTTAGCCTTTTCCTCTTTTATTATTCTAGTTTTTTTGGATTTTGTGCACCTTTAGTTCTCTCTCATGGAAATCCGTTGTGGTGCTGTTTCTAATTCTCAGTCATATCCTGATCAGGAATAGCAATATATCTTGCACAGGAAGTTGTCAACAATTCACTTCTTGACTTAAATCCCAGTGATGATGATACATCTTCCAATGCAAACCCAAAGGCCTTGTCTGAAGCATTTCTGCAGCCTTGCCATAGAAAAAGGAAGCATGGGGCAGCTGTATCTCATGAGCAGAAGTTTGAGCAGATTAGTTTGGAAGTGGAAGCACCCAGGAGTCGCCCGCCAACTCTTATATCTGTGAAGATAGCTGCACTTGAGGCAGTAGAAGCTCTTTTAACTGTGGTATGTTTAGTGCATGGATATTTGCGTTGCATGTTTCCTTTTTTCTTTGAAAAAAAGATGAGATCTGCTGATGATGTTGTGCATTTTGTGGCCCTTTGTGCACAAGGGCTTGAACAAGATGATAGGTGGCCTAATATAGGATTTCATTGCCATAAGGAACAGCCAAACATAATTTTGGCTTGCCAAGGTTATGTTGAGTGAGAGATGAAATGCAATCGTTTTTTAAATTTTCAAAAACTTTATTTGGATTTTTTCAGTTATTCTCATAATCTAAAAGGACTTGTATCTGACTTGAAATCAAGTATAGAATTGTTAATAGGATGTGAACTGTACAGTTTATACTATGGAAGGAGATATTTATGGTCTTATTTCTGGGAAATTGGCCAAGAAAAATTAAGTTTAAGTTTTAGATAGAAAAGCTAACTAAACTGTAGAAAACAGAGTTAAGAGGAGAAAAGAATTTTATTCTTCTAATTCTTGTGTATTTACAGCCTCTATACTGGTTCTTTACATATACAAAGATGTTTCCGATATAGGAAATAATCTAAGTAGGAAATAATCTAAATAGGAAATCAATCTAAACTAGGAAAGTCAATATTCTTCATAATTATAAAGATTTCAACATAAACTTATAATAGGAAAAAATTTCAGTGGCTGAAAAGGTTTGGGTGCTTTTTCATTTGATTTTTGATTGTACACTTGTGGATTCTTCTCAGTGTAAACAGAAACACTTATGCCTGATAGTTAATTTAACTTGGAAGATGTGGCCTCAATATAAAATATGAAATGAAGAAAATAGTCGATTCAGTTACATAACAGAGTTGTGGCCTATCAATGTTTAAGCATGTAATCACTACTGAAAAATTGCAGATACCTGATTTGAAGCAGTGTTTTGCATGCCTAAACTAACCACATACATGCCCCTTTCATTTGAAAGAAACTAGGTGTTTGCTAGTTCAGAAACATTATTTGTACCGCAAACCTATCATGTCTTCTTCGATTTTATCTATTCATTCCATGGGCTGGGATTATTGTTTCAGAACCTGTGAATGAATAGTTGAGACAGTTGGAACTGCTATACTATGAGGAGATACCTTTTCTATATCATTTCTGTACATTGCCAAAAGTGCTGGGAAGTGCTAGAAATGATTCTTTAGGTTGAAGGTCTAATTTTGCTGATTTATTCAACAGTTATGATGCTCTCGCTTGGACCTAGTTGATTAGCTTATTGATGTATAGTATTAATGTGTCTCCCCCTCTCCCACTCTGAAACGCCCCAAAAATGAAAAATAAAAAAAGCCAAAATTTTCTGTTGTTATCCATTTTGAAGCATCTATTTGCAAGCCTTGCATTGTGTTGTTTAGTTATTCTTTCAATTTAAGTAGGCTAGAAATGGCTCACTTCCTCTGTCAAGTGGGATGTGGTATACAAATTTTTCTGAATGCAGATACTGATATTAACAACTTTCATCTGATTGCCGGATATCCTTTCAGTTTTCTGACTATATATCTGTGGGTTCCATTTCTTTCCACTTCATTTCAACCAGAAGGAAAATGCAGTTTGTTATAACTCACATACTATTTCCATTTATGGAGTTTAATACCAAATGTCTTTTTGGGACTTTTTGCTATTGACTCCTTGTTTCTGTTGTTGATTAATCAACTCCTCAACTTGGGGACAAACCCAAATTAGTTGATTCCATAATATGCGTAAAACTTTTGTCAGGGTGGTGCTTTGAGATCAGAGTCCTGGCGGTCAAAAGTTGATCATATTTTAATAACAATGGCAGAAGATTCCTGTAAAAGCGGATGGACTACTGAGGATAGAAACACTTTCTTGCCTAGTGGACCCACCTCAATGCGTGCAGAATTACAGCTTGCTATTTTCCGGGCACTTTTGGTGTCTCTTCTTTCACCATCTCTTGTGCGGCCTCCACATTTAGCCCAGAGTCTTGAGCTCTTCCGAAGAGGTACATTTTGCCTGAAATTTTTTGTAAAGCTTTATTTATTTTATTTTTATTTTTTTTAATTTTTTATTTTATTGATAAATTGAGGATAGCTTTTAACTTAATAGATGATTAATAATAGTAGGGTTGATCTTTCGACAGCAGCTATAATTCCTCTTTAAAAAGGGTTTTCTGTAGGGATGCAACAGTGTAACATACATGTTCTTATAATATTTGATAAATAACATGTGATGAACAGTCTTACAAGTAATTTAGTGTTTATGTTTGTTAATAATCTGTTGTTGTAATCATATGGACTTTAATCTGCAGGCAGACAAGAAACTGGAACGAAACTTTCCGAATTTTGCTCCTATGCACTCTTAGCCTTGGAGGTGCTTATACATCCCCGGGCCCTCCCACTAGTAAAGATCCCTCCTGCAAACTCTTCCCTTGAAGTTAACCATGGATTTCCCGAGACTCTGTACACAGGTAGCCAGAAGCACAACACCCCATTTTCAAGTGGAATACGGGAAATGGGATTTGTATCTCCTGATTCAGATGATGAGCTGTATGAAAGCTGGCTAGGTGGTAGCAATGAAACTGACACTCCAATGGATGGCAAAGCTAAAAATACAAACAGTGAAAAGCATTCTGAAAACTTGGGAGTTCAATGGAGAGAAAATATCTCTGCTGTTGCTACTGCAGATGTAGAGATGCAAAGCGATGGTGATGAAATAATAGTCAAATCACAGCAAGTTCAAGAATCCACGATGCAGCTTCAAGAACTTGTATCTTCTAGGGGTGCTGCAGTTCCTGTCGTCACTAACGATTGTACAGGCACTGAAGTTGAGTTAACAAGGGTTGGTTCAAAAACTGGTGCATTAGTTTCAACAGATGAAGAAATGGCACCATCTGAGGCTGACATAACTGATAAATGTAATGAAAGTGCCCCCATAATGGGAACAACTTACAAATTATCGAGTGCTCCGAAAAGCATAGCAGTCTTTGCTTATGAATCAGATCGGGACTCCTCAGCAGAGTCTGTACCGGATATTGTGGACGCTGATCCAGATTCTGATTGTCAAGAGATATGATGTATTTTAAGTTAAAAAGAGGATGACAGACATGTATTTTGTAGCAATCCAAAGGAAATTTGTGCCATGCAAGGGTTTTTTTTGCCAATGTTAATTTATTAGTTTTTAAGCAGTCAATGTGGTATTCTCTTTTCAGTTTTAGTGATCTCACATTTGAAAATGTGAACAAGCCAAATTGATTACTCCCTCGGTCCTAAAATAAAAGTTGTTTAAATCCCTCTGTCCTAAAATAAAAGTTGTTTAAGGTTTTTGCATGCACAAGAATTAAAAAAGTAATTAATTCTCTTAAATTATATAGTAACAAAATTAAAAGTAACTTACGAAGGTAATTATTGTTTCTAATATAAATAAGGATAATAATGAAAAAATATCGATTATTATTTCTTGAAATGCTTAAAATGACTTTTTAATTATCTCTGGGGCTACAACTGTCTAATTTGCTTGTCTTTGGATAGGCTAGAACCATGAAGAACACCTCAACTGGGCATGGCATTTCTTGGTTTGGATAAACCGAACAACCGAATTGATTTAATCTGGGTTGATTTAGCATTTTATTCAGTTTTATAGAAATTGAAATTTTTTTTACAGATAAATTGGTAATTCCGAATTTTTTTGGGTCCTTTATCGAATTAAACACTTACCACCCAAGAGTTTGCCCTCTGCACAGTTTTCCCATGTTCGTCAAAGATAGGCTTGGTTTGATTTCTCACCAACTCCATCTTGAGAGGGGTGTAAATATATATATGTATATATATTAGTTCTAATATGCCAACTCAGCAATTCTTACTTTACTCTTCTAGAATGTTCTAGCATAGGTATATAAAGAATATATGTAGTTAATTTTATGAGAAGATGAATATACAATACACTATTTCATTTTTTGCTCCAACTCAAATCTAAGAATTACCTTCATGATCTTGAATCTATACCTTCGTTACCTCATCATCACCTTTAGATAACAAGTTAAATGGATTATGAGAGTCAACTCGTGAATCGTGACACGAATCGTTTAAATTCATATTATATATCGATCATTTGTTTATAATATAAATCCATTTAGATTCAATTTTAACTCATTTTTTATATTAAATAAATTTTGTTTCCGTGTCATAATTCATTTTGATAAACGTATTCAGTTAATTTAATTTATTATATTTTGGACATAGCTTATATCGGCATAAAAATTTTTATGCTCAAGTTTGGATTTCTTGTTTGTTATTCAATTGTTTTCGTTTGAATTGAATTTTCACATCAGAAAATTGTTATATATCTTTGTTCATCCTTTTGGCTACTATCACATGTTACTGGCTAGGTTCCAAATTACAGAATAAAACCACCAATTTTGACTGATTTGTCCTTTTTTTTTTCAAAAAAATAAAAAAATTTACTTAGTGTGATTTTAGTTCAAGGAACATTATCTTGTGACTCAAGGAAATAATAAAATAATGCATTTGAATTTCCGTGATCTATAAATCACTTTATTGAATTCAACCTAACATTGAATATCAAATGTGGTTTTACACAAGCAAACACTAAATCAAAAATAATATTTTAATATTGTAGCTTGTCAATCTCCTTAGTGAATTTGTTTTTGTATTATAATATTATGAATAAAAAAATTCCTCCTTAAATTTGTTTTACTTGCAATAGTAACAAAACATTAATTGAAACACTTTATTTCGTCTTACATCTTTCTTTTCCATCTAAAAAAATGTATTTTCTTTTTGACTTTTTGAGATTATTTGTGTAGATGAAATTTAAATATTTTATAAATTTGAATGTTTGATTTTGTAAAAATAAGCCACCGCCGTAGAATTTATAAATTTCATCATCACATTAATATCATCTTTTCAAAAGAGATAAAAGAATCGATATCGTGAAATCTCTTAATTCCATCTAATAGAATTCAAATCATTTAATTCTATTTTAAAAGCACCTTTTGAATCCATGGATTTTATTTTCCAACAAAATGATAAAATATGAAATTTCATGAACTTTACATTTCAGAAATTTCGTGAGATTTATGAATTTTGCATTTTATGAATGAATAATTACCTATAGTTTATATTGAATTTCAATATTATTTCAAAAACTTTCAGAACGTTTATGTTATTATCTAGATTTAAGGATTTGTTCGAAGTTATCTATTTTTCTTTCTTTTCTTTTCTTTATTTTTTTTATTTGACAAAACATAACAACAAAGAACACTACAGAACATTTTCAAGGTTTACCATTTTGAAATAAAGCCAACAATTTTGTAATAGGTTTTGTCAAGAGTTATTTGAGGATGTGGAGTAACTTATTTAATTATTTATTTATTAAGAATAAAGTCCAATTTGACCGATAAACTTGAATGTGATATATAATCTATCCGAAAATAAACTTTTTGTACAATTATCACCCCAATTTTACACCAAATGACCAAAAAATCCAACTTGTAGCCAAAAAGGAAAAAAAAAATAATTTTAAATATTTTTAATGATAAAAAAGATTCAACTTTCAAAAATAATGCATTTAGGATTTACTTAAATGGTGATTTCTATGGAAACTTACTTTTTTTTTTTTAATTCTAGAAAAGTATGTTTCTAAGAAAATAATTAATTTTATAATTATTGAGTTATCATGTTTGGGAGAATCTGACCGAACCGAAATGAGTCGGTTCAATTGTTGGTTCAGTTCGGTACGGTTAGTGATTTTACTCACCCTAATTAGATGTTAGCTATTTTACCAGTTGTTAGTAGTTAGTTGTTTATATAGAGGTTTAAAATAGAAATGTTCGGTAAAAATAAGTTTTTGATTAGTTGTCTAATGTAAAAAGACAAAAAAGGGTAAGGTCATAGAAAACAAGGCAAAGACAAGTGATAGACATAGGCGTCATAAAAAAATTATATAATGCTAAATGTTAATGAGGATAACGTTTCATGAAATACTACCTCAAACTCTAAACGTTAAGATAAATGTGATATTACCAAACACAGTAATTAATTAAAACAGTGTTTTAACCCAATCAAAATACTAAACACTACTTCAAACGCTCTTGCCGAACAGAGTCATTAGCTGTTAGTGGTTAGTTGTTTATATAGCATTTTAAAATGAAAGTGTTTGGTAAAAATAAGTATTTGATTAGCTATTTAATATAAAAAGATAAAACAAGGATAAGGTCATAGAAAACAAGACAAAGACAAGTGATGGGCATAGGCTTGATAAAAAATTTATAAAATATTAAACGTTAATAAGGGTAACGTTTCATGAAACACTACCTCAAACTCTAAACGTTAAGATAGATGTGATATTACCGAACACAATAATTAATTAAAATAGTATTTTAACCTAATCAAAATACTAAACACTACTTCAAACGCTCTTGCCGAACAGAGCCTTATAATTAAGATACTGATGTTATTTTATTTTGAAAAATATCTTATTTTGTATAAGAATTCAAGTTTTCTATAGATGGAAAAAAGATACTTTTTTACGCACAATAAAAAATAGGAATGAAGCTCACATGTTTAAGAATTGAATTTTTACGAGAATATAGGATTTTTATACTAATTAAGCACCATAATTTTTTATTTTCAAATCATTTTTTAATGAAATTTCAATAACTAAATATCCCTAAATATATTTTATCTACTACAGGGTAAACCACATATTATGAGTTGAAGTTAGTAAGTTTCACATCAAACTTAGACTAAGACTGTATTTGACAATAACTTTTTAAGTAGTTTTTAGCGTTTTGACTAGTCAAAACACTAAACGCTAATTTTTATAGTGTTTGAACTAACTTTAAAATGTTAAGATATCGTTTTATAAAAAATTAACTCATGTAACGTTTAGTTTTTAACGTTTTATGAAAAGTTACTTAAACAGCTAATAGCTAAACGCTACTTAGGCTGTATTCGGCAATAGTTTTTTAAAGCAGTTTTTAGTGTTTGGACCATTCAAAATGCTAAGCGCTATTTATTATAGTATTCAGTAACATAGCGTTTATAAAATGTTAACTCATGTTCTGTTTAACTTTTAGCATTTTATGAAAAGCTACTCAAACAACTACTACCTACTCAAACAACTAAATACTATTAAAACAGCTAACAACTACCAAAAGAGCTAATTTTGTTGAACAAACTTCAAGTTTACCAATGACCATGGTAGGATCCTCCAGTGGTAAAAATATATGGATGACACTTCCGATGCTAAATCTTGGCACTAAGCAGAGCCTAATACATACCGGAGAGTTTGGCTAGTAGTTCATATACTCTGACCTTGGGGTAGTCTTCTACGCTAGATGTAAAAGAGGTGTATGCAAAGTTCGGCTATGCGTTGGCTTCGAAATAAGCCTCGCTGCTTGCGTCACAATAGGTATAAGAGCATGCAAAAGCCGCGACAGTGATGATGAAAATAGGCCTATTAAGATCTGTTCCTATCACTTATCCATCTATGCCACTTGATTCCCTAGATCTCTACCGATACTTCGTCGTCGAGCTACAAGAAACTTTCTAGAGTTATAATCCCAATTTCTAACGGCGAAGCGGTTCCGCTATTTTGACCCTGCCAGTTCCCTGTCGTCCATCAACGAATCTGAGCCTAATCCACGTTGAGCGACCTGGAGAGGAGTGTGCAATGGAGAGATGTCTCTATTTCCAAGGGTTCTCTATATAAGACTTGTGGCCAATGGTCTTTATCGATTATCTCAGTCCCCAACACTTAGATGAATGAATAGTTGAGGCATCGCAACGGCCTGAAGGAAGAGCACACAGCGTACCTCTCTATTGAGAGCTGACACCTTATAGATTGTGTAACTGAAATACGTGCCATATGGGAAACCACCTTAACAAATTAATCCCGAGTGCTCCGAAAAGCATAGCCAAGTGCATTTTGTACCTTATGGAGGAGTAATTCGGTTGTGAAATTCCTCCCTTCAGTCACCAGAATAGTCTGTACCCCAGCTCCGGCTGTAATAATTGTGGACGACTGCCAATATTTCCTATGAGTTTCCGTGGACTTGAGTCAAGAAAGCAACTAATGATGTATTTCAAGTTTTAACAAGATATAACACATATAGCAAGCAGGAACCTGACGACCATCTGTTATTCAATTTAACATGCATAGCCACTACCAAGAGTATGGCAAGTATT